CACTGTACTTGTATTTATGTGTACCTCTGAGACAGAGATAGACAGACAGATAGAAAGAGACAGATAGACAGAGACAAAGACAGAGAGACAGAGATAGACAAAGATATACAGACAAATGGAGACAGAGCCAGGCCGCCAACAGCTGGCCAGCCACGCAGCTGGCCGGCCAGCCCGCCGGCCAGCCAGCCAGCCAGCCAGATTGTTTCTCTTTACTGAAAGGGTGTTGCACAAATGTTGCACATGGGTTATTATCGAGATTTTTTGATATTTCATCGACCACTTATGGCCACATCCACCTGAAAGCCACTAAACTTGGGGTCAAAATCACTTTCCTCTTAAAATAGGCGAGTTAATACTACATGAAATCAGTGAATCCCAGGTGTTTGCTGCACTGTTTGCTCTAGCTGGTGCTCATTTGAACTGGTGCTCCCACAAGGTACTAAGTGGTCCCAGATTTTTTTAATACTGCACACACTGAGTGTTAGGGCCCATTCTATGCTGACAAGGCATCTCAGGCCAATTGTGCCAAATTTGAAGGCAGGAAAAATAAAGCGTATACACGTATATACGTTTGGGGCACTAGCGGTAAAAACGTATACATACGTTTGGACCGTTTACGGGTTAAATATTATGCAGAGTGTTGAGAGGGCTGAGGAGGAGTTGCTGAAGTGGTTTAGGCATTTAGAGAATGAAGGGGAATAGGATGATGAAAGAGGTGTATAAATCAAGGGTGGAAGGTAGGAGGGGAAAGCATCATCCCAGAAATGGTTGGAGGCAGGGGTTAAGGTGGCTTTGACTTTAAAGGGCCTGAGTATCCAGCAGGCTTGTATGAGCATGTTAGACAGGAGTGAATGGAGACAAAAGGGCTTTAATGAGGTGTGAGCAAGGTAACATCAATGAAGGGATTCAGGGAAAACTGGTTGGTCAGACTTGAGTCTTGGGGGTGGTAAGGGCAGTGCCTGCACTTGGAAGAAGGGGTGAGGATGTTGCAGTTGGAGGGTATCTGAATCATGATGACAGCACACTTTTCTCAAGACAGTGACTGAATGTATGATGACATATGTGTTTCCTCTTTGGGTCACTCTGCCTTAGCAGGATACAGCCAATAAGGTAAAAAAAAATAATAGAACATGAGGCAGAACAAGAGGCCATACCTATACACCTAGGAAGACAATGTGGTAAAAGGATACTGTGGAAGATGTTCTTTGCAGAATAACAGAATGATGGAATGAGTTATAAGAAGTAGTAATTTCTAGTCAATGGAAATTTTCAACAAACTTCATGACGTATTAAATACTGAAGATGTAACACTGCCAACTTAGGTCTATTTTCTCCAAACCTCCAGATTTACCTCCATCTACCCTACAGAGAAGTGTTGCCAATAAATTGGCTGCAGTTCCAGGGACAGGCCCAATTTCCAAGTAAAAATGAAAATACATACAGTATACAGGACTTCATATATGGCAAAAGCACAGGGCTGCACTTGGTTAAGTATTTGTAGGCTACAGCCATCCTTGAAAGGGAAGTCCCAGCCACTGCAGTTTAAAACATCAATGAAGATTAATCCCCCACCACTGAAAGGAGCTGTCTTTGAGGGGAGAGATGAGGGAGCTGGAAGACAGATACAGCCCAATGGAAACTTGAACGAAGTGAGACCCAATTGTTTTTTCCATGTTGAGTGAGTTGACAAATTCCACACCAGCAATGTTATGAATGGGTGCTGTGTTTTAGGTAAGCACTTCCCAGCTAATTTCTGTCACTTCTTTAATAAAAATGGGACAATGAGAAAAATAAAAAGAATGAGCCACTGCCTACAGATAATCAACAGTACTTTGCTTGATGGCCAATGCCAAGCTCTGCAGTCATCACAATCAATCTCCTGAAAAATACACCACTGAATGATGGAAACTGTAGTCAAAATGGCTCTGGTCATGTTAGGATATTTATGGTGGCCACATACTGGGTGAAAGGGTGAATGGTCTTGATACTTGAGACAAGTAAACCCTGCAGCAAGAGTTGTATACATCCTCTGCACATTTATTCTGCATTCTTCCTTGCATGGCAAGGAAGAATGATTTGCATGGCAAGAAAGATGACCTTGCAATGCCAATATAACTGGACATGTCAATACAGTGATGGAAATATAATTCACTGCCTGTAATTTGAACAAGGTATAACTGGACATGTCAATACAGTGATGGAAATATAATTCACTGCCTGTAATTTGAACAAGGTAAATTATCACAAGTGACATTGTGGCCAACCTAAAGATATTTTATTTTCACCAAAACTACTCCCAGCAATGTTAAAGCACTTATGCGAATCTTTATTTTGAAAATGTTTTGCCACGCAGTGGCTTCATCAGTCCAGTACAAAGTAGAAATGGGTAAGGAGAGGAGGAGTTTGAGGTAATCAGTCCCTCAGCCTGGAATCGATTCCAGTCCCTCAGCCTGGAGTCGATATGTTCAGTTCATCAATCTTGTAGAAAGTACAGCATAGGGCCGTAGACGTGGCTTATATACTGTAGTCAGGTGATGTGAAGCAGGAAGAGACGGGGTCATAGTGGTACCATCCACTAGTTGAAGTAGGTCTTCGTCCAAAGGTTGGACAAGGTTGAAGAATTCTTTGTATCAAAATCCCTTGATGTTACAATGTCTGACAGATGTGATAAATGGTTTAAAAAACTGACAAGTTGAAGATTGAGACACTTATGCAACATATGGGAATCTTTATTAAGGAAACATTTTGCCACACAGTGGCAAAACATGGACTGAACACATCGACCCCAGGCTGAGGGACTGGAATCAATTCCAGGCTGAGGGACTGGAATCGATTCCAGGTTGAGGGACTGATTACCTCAAACTCCTCCTCTCCTTATCCATTTCTACTTTGTATTGGGCTGATGAAGCGACTGTGTGGCGAAACGTTTCCTTAATAAAGATTCCCATATGTTGCATAAGTGTCTCAATCTTCAACTTGTCAGTTTTTTAAACCATTTATCACATCTGTCAGATACTGTAACATCAAGGGATTTTGATACACAGAATTCTTCAACCTTGTCCAACCTCTGGACAAAGACCTACTTTGACTAGTGGATGGTACCACTATGACCCCGCCTCCTCCTGCTTCGCCTCACCTGACTACAGCACATAAGCCACGTCTACGGCCCTATGCTGTACTTTCTACAAGATTGATGGACTGAACACATCGACTCCAGGCTGAGGGACTGGAATTTATTCCAGGCTGAGGGACTGATTACCTCAAACTCCTCCTCTCCTTACCCATTTCTACTTTGTATTGCACTGATGAAGCCACTGTGTGGCAAAATATTTCCTCAATAAAGATTCCCATATCTTGCATAAGTGTCTCAATCTTTAACTTGTCGGATTTTTAAATCATTTATCACAATGTTAAAGCAACTGGGACCTAGATAGTAGGCTGGTAGACAGCAACTGCCCAGGGATGTATACTGTCCTGTCAAGTGAGTGTGAAGTGGAAACCTGTAATGTTTTACATGATGGTGGGATTGCTAGTGTCTTTTTTCTGTCTCATAAACAAACAAGGTTTCAGGTATGCCTTGCTAATTCTACCTACACTTAGGTCACACTACACATGCATGTGCAAGCATATATATACACACACACCCCTCTGGGTTTTCTTCTATTTTCTTACTAGTTCTTGTTTATTTCTGCTTATCTCCATGGGAAAGTCGAACAGAATTCTTCCCCTGTATACCATGCATGTCATAAGAGGAAACTAAAGTGCCGGAGCAAGGGGCTAGTAACCCCTTCTCCTGTATACAGTACTAAATTTAAAAAGAAAAACTTTCATTTTTGTTTTTGGGCCACCCTGTGTTGGTGGGATACAGCCAGTTTGTTGAAAGAAGAAGTGAGGCTCAGATTAGGGTATGTAGGAGAGAGGGAGATTACTTTCCAATAAAGTAGGCCTTAGACAGGGATGTGTAATGTCACCAAGGTTGTTTAGCATACTTATAGAAGGAGTTGTAAAAGAAGTAAATGCTAGGGTGTTGGAGAGAGGGGTGGGATTAAATTATGGGGAATCAAATACGTTTTGCTGATGGTATTGTGCTTATAGGAGATTTTAAAGAGAAGTTGCAAAGATTAGTGGAAGAGTTTGGGAGGGTGTGTAAAGAAAGTTGAAAGTGAACATTGATAAAAATAAGGTGATGGGGGTATCAAATGAGTTAGGTAAAGAAAAACTGGATATCACAATGGAGGGGGGCAGTATGGAAGAAGTGAATGTGTTCAGATATTTGGGAGTAGAATTGTCAGCAGATGGGTTGATGATTGATAAGTTAACCATAGAACTGATGAAGGAAAAAGGTGAGTGGTGCGCTGAGGTTTCTGTGAAGCCAAAAAACGTTATCCATGGAGGCAAAGAAGGGAATGTACAAGAGTACAGTGGTACCAACACTCTTTTATGGGTGTGATGCATGGTTTGTAAATGCTGCAGTGAGAAAGAGGCTGGAGACAGTGGAGATGTCATGTCTAGGGCAATGTGTGGTGTAAATATTATGCAGAGAATTCATAGTGTGGAAATTAGGAGGTGTGGAATTACTAAATGTACTGTTCAGAGGGCTGAGGAGGGGTTGCTAAGGTGGTTTGGTCATTTAGAGAGGATGGGGCAAAATAGGTTGACTTGGAGGGTGTATAAATCTGTAGTAGAAGGGAGGAGGGATAGGAAAGAATGGAGGGGGGTAAAAGAGGTTATGTGTGTAAGAGGCCTGAACATGCAGCAGAACCAGTTAGCCAGACTTGAGTACTGGAGATGGGAAGTACAATGCCTGCACTTTAAAGCAGGGGTTTGGGATATTGGCTGTTTGGAGTGACATCTAAACTGTCATATTGAGGTGCCTCTGCAAAGAGTGACATTGTGTGAATGATGGTGAAAGTGTTTCTTTCTTTTTTGGGTTGCCCTGCCTAAGTGGGAGATGGCTGTCGTGTTAAAAAAAAATAAGTTTAACAAACATTGCAACATACTTTAGACAGAGTTTTGTCAAAGCCTCCTCCTTCTATAGCAACAGCCAGTATGTGCTGAAGAAATTTTTTTGCTCCATTTGTTGCTGCCATCTCTGTAAGTTGTTGTACAGCACTTTATTTTGAGTCCACTGCTGTGAGATAACTCACTTTTATATAAAGTTTGCTGCTTTGCTTGTGCTAACTGGCTATTTATTTCTTCTTTTAAATCTTCAAAGGAATACTGCCAGCTAGCAGATTCTGTAGATACATACAAAATGAAAGGTTAATATCACATAAAAACTTAAAGAGAATGACTTAGCATTTGAAGGAATAAGGTCAAATTAGCATTTTTATAAATCAAGCTAATACACAATACAGTGTTTCTATTAACTAGCTAAGACATAAAACTGTTTATTCATATTTTAAAACTTATGCTAAAATAGTGCTCAGTTTGTGGGTATACAGCAATCTACAGACACTTAACTTCAAGGATATTTTAATTTCTTAAAAAAGAAACAGTTATCATATATTTCTAGGATCAAATAAATCATCATCAAAAAACAATAATTCTAACTAAACATAATGAACCTCCCATATTAAGCCACCAAAATTACAAATTATTATTATAATTATTATATTATTATTCTAATCAAAACTAAGTGCTGAACCACCAGGGTCATACAGTGCTGCAGTTTCTTCTTAGAGAAGGGATCAAATATACAGTGGACCCCCGGTTTACGATATTATTTCATTCCAGAAGTATGTTCAGGTGCCAGTACTGAACAAATTTGTTCCAATAAGGTATATTGTGAATTAGATTAGTCAATTTCAGACCCCCAAACATACATGTACAAACGCACTTACATAAATACACTTACATAATTGGTCGCATTGGGAGCTGATCATAAACCGGGGGTCCACTGTACAGTGGACCCCCGCATAACGATTTTAATCCGTGCAAGAGGGGTAATTGTTATGCGAAATAATCGGTATGTGAATGAATTTTCCCCATAAGAAATAATGGAAATAAAATTAATCCGTACAAGACACCCAAAAGTATGAAAAAAAAATTTTTTTACCACATGAAATATACATTTTCCCACACACAAAGAGAAGGATACATGCACAATAGTAGAGTAGTACATGCACAGTATATATTGTGCATGTACTAGTCTACTAAATGAAGAATAAATGACACTTACCTTTATTGAAGATGCAGCAATGACTGATGAGACACTGTGTCCTGGGAGTGCCTTTTCCTCCTGAGTACTGTAGGTCCTGTTTGGCATTTTCTTCCAGAACAGGCCTTATCACACTGTGTATGCCACTACGATTCTTAAATCTCTCAAACCAACCTTTGCTGGCTTTAAATTCACCAATATGAGCACTAGTTCCAGGCATTTTTCCCTGTTCACCTGGGTGTTAGTCGACTTGTGTGGGTTGCATCCTGGGAGACAAGATTAAGGACCCCAATGGAAATAAGTTAGACAGTCTTCGATGACACTGACTTTTTTGGGTTATCCTGGGTGGCAAATCCTCTGGGGTTAATTGTTTCTTGGTATTCTCAATAAGCCACACCAACAACGGTGCTACAGCAGCAGCAGCAGCTGACGGTGGTACAGCAGCAACAGACGATGCTACAGCAGCAGCAGACGATGCTACAGCAGCAACAGACGATGTTACAGCAGCAGCAGACGATGCTACAGCAGCAGCAGCAGCTGACGGTGGTACAGCAGCAACAGACGATGCTACAGCAGCAAACAGACGATGTTACAGCAGCAGCAAACGATGCTACAGCAGCAGCAGCAGCTGACGGTGGTACAGCAGCAACAGACGATGCTACAGCAGCAACAGACGATGTTACAGCAGCAGCAGACGATGCTACAGCAGCAGCAGCAGCTGATGGTGGTACAGCAGCAACAGACGATGCTACAGCAGCAACAGACGATGTTACAGCAGCAGCAGACGATGCTACAGCAGCAGCAGCAGCTGACGGTGGTACAGCAGCAACAGACGACGCTACAGCAGCAACAGACGATGTTACAGCAGCAGCAGACGATGCTACAGCGGCAGCAGCAGCTGACAGTGCAGCAGCAGCAGCAGCTGACAGTGCAGCAGCAGCTGTACCACCAATAGTAGCGATGGTTGATTGGGGTTTATTATACAACCTGGCCAGCTCGGAGACACGCACTCCACTTTCATACTTATCAATGATCTTTTTCTTCATCTCTATTGTAATTCTCACCCTTATTGCTGTAGGGTTGGCACTAGAAGCTTTCTTGGGGCCCATGGTCACTTATTTTCCAGAAAAAGCACCGAAAACACTGTAATAATACGAAATATTCCGATTGTATGCTTGGATGTTACCGCGGAGGCTGGCTGGTAAACAATGCCACCGGCGGAACATGTGAGCGTGGCTCAGGCTGCACATTGGACGCGTCTCGGACGAAAATCGGTGAGCGGGTTTTTAAGCGGTATGTGAGGCAAAATTTTGGCGATTAAAGCAAGCGGTATGCGGATTAATCGCTATGTGATGCCATCGGTATACGGGGGTCCACTGTACTAGTAAAAGAAAAAATCTTTAACACTTAAGCCTACGCTGGAGATTACCCTAGCTCCATATACAAATCATCAGCAATTCCTTCAGCAACCTGTACTTGAAGCAGATATAGTTTATTTGTGTATACTACTTTAAAACATGTTGACTTCTGTACAGCCGAATTATGAATTACATTCATGGGAAAAAGGGGAAAGATTAAGGACCCCAATGAAAATAAGTCACTTTGATATTTTTAGGGCTATCCTAGATAATCTACACATATGCTGCTATATATGATAATTTATGTAACTGGATTTATGTGCATCTGTAAGTGTATAAACTTACTTACTTACTAACCCATAAGAGTCATACAGCACCTCAGAAATGGGAGGCAGTCAGGTTTGATCCAAGGAACTATTCCTTATGGGATGTCCATTCTAAGACATAACAAAAATACTATACAGTAGGACCCCCGTATCTGCAGGGGATAAGTTCCAAGACACTGCCGTGTATACTGAAACCATGGATAGTAGTGAACCCAATATATGTCCTATACATACTTATTATAAAGCTAATTGATAAATTATGCATAATAAGTGGAGAATTATCACTGAAGGGAAGCACTTTGCAGCTTCTCTTAGCCTTTGAAGAACTTCCATCATCATTGCTTTTGCACTTTGAGGCCATTATTAAACAAAATTAAGGGCTATTTTCAGGCCATGGTAAACTGTGGATAACTGAAACAGCAGATACCGGACCCGTAGATACAGGGGGTCCTATTCTATTATTTATTCTAGGTCAAACTAAATTAATCTATCTAAAATTTAAATAATACTGAAATTATATAAAGAAGTAGTTTGTGCCTGGCAGCATGGGAGATATCATTGGTACAGTACACTTAAACTGTTGTCTTTAGAGATAAACTCCATTAAAAAGAGTCCTGCAGCAAATGGTAAGCAGACAAATTATTGCTATACTAGGGTGTCTTGTGGTTTGATTGCTTGTGCATACAGCTCACACACTGAGGTCCGGAAGGGGGCAATTCCTGGTATGGGTGGAAACATTAGGACGTGTTTCCTTAACCCTTTCAGGGTCCGTCCCGTAGATCTACGGCTTCATGTTGAGTGTCCAAACTGTAGATCTACGCCAAAATTCTAGCGCCGTCAAATTTAGTGCGAAAGCACTCATAGGCCTACATGTGAGAGAACGGGTCTGCATGGTGGGTGTGCGCCATAAACAAAAAATCTTGGCGCCCGCATAGCATTGTGGGAATGCCGGCTCAGTTACCCTTGTTCACCATGCCTCGTCGCAAGTCAGCTCTCACTCCACGGAAAATTGGGACTCTCCTCTTCCTGTCTGATAGTTCTGACACTGATGGAAGTGGAAATGAAGATGAATTCTTTGGCTTTGATCAGTTAGTGACCGAAAGGAATGACCAGGATATCGATAATAGTGCAGAAAACCCTGACGATCCTCAACCTTCTACCTCTGGTGTGAGCACTCGTCAGTCACGGTCAGGTGTACCTCAACGCAAGAGAAAACTAATATTTTCACGTGGCCAGGCCTCTGACTTCAGTAATGATGATGATGGTGACGTGGATTGTGATTTTATTGCGCTTGACGATCATTCAAGTAGTGATAGTGAGGAATCATATTCACCAGTGAAGCATCGGTATGTACGCCGCCGCATGCGCTCGGGTAGTGTACTGTATGCTGTGCCCAGGGGACGGAGTACATCCCGGAGTACATCCCAGAGTACATCCCATGGCCCTACACCAGGTTTAGATAGTGATAGTGAGGATGATGTGGCTACACTTGGCATGGATAGACCACAGGCATCAGCAGATGGTGGTAGTGGTGATGGTAGTGGCACCGCCATGCGTGACTCACCAGCCCAGGCTGGGACCCACGCTGCTGACTCCTCAGTTCAAGGACAAAGCGGAGCGTCAGCCACCAGCCCACCGCAACCACAAACACCCGCACAACCAGCCTATGATGTCCAGTTTCCACCAGCAAACCGTATCTGGGATTGGCAGCAAAATCCCAATTTTGTTCCCAAGCCCCACCACTTTGATGGCTCTCAAAGTGGAATTCTACCTACTTGTCCCCTTGGAACCATGGCCAATGAACTGGAATTCTTTGAATTATTCTTTGACCAGCCATTGATGGAAACTATTGTCAGGGAAAGTAATAAGTATTTTTGAGTACACCATGGCAAATACGATCATATCACCACAGTCAAGACTACACCAGTGGAAAGAGACAACTGTTGCAGAAATGTATTTGCTTTTTGCAACAATAATACTTATGCCTCATGTCTATAAGCATAATATAAAAGCATCCTGGTCCACAGATCGGCTAATTTCTACCCCGGTCTTCAGTGAAATCATCCCAGTGAACAGGTTTATCTTACTGTTACGTATGTTGCACTTCTCTGACAAAACCAGGCCTGACAGAAGTGACAGGTTATACAAGATTAGAAATGTTTTTATGTATCTCAAACAAAAGTTCAGCATATACTTTTATCCATTCAAGAATCTTGTAATTGACGAGTCTTTGATTTTGTTCAAAGGTAGACTGTCATTCAAGCAGTATATACCGAGCAAGAGGAAATGCTTTGGTATAAAACTGTTTATACTCTGGGACTGTGACAGTGGCCCGGTGTTGGATATTGTTGTATACACGGGAAGTAAAACATTGAAAGATACCAAGATGTTAT